CTACGTACTATCGCGGTTGTATACCAACCCACATAAAATGTTAGTTATAAGATGCAGTTTTTTCACTAGTGTCAATCACTGGAATATGAAACTTGTCAAGTTTCGTAATTTTGTTGAGGGCTTTGTAATCCCCACAAATTCTCCAGCCTCCTTCCTTCATTTTGACCATGATAACTGGACTGCTTTAAGGGCTTGTACAAAGATTGAGAATTCCTGAATTCAACATTTCCTTCACCAACTTTTCTATCTCATCGTTTTGGTAATGAAGATATCGGTATGGCCTGGAATTTGGAATTATGGCTCCTTCTTGTATGTTAATAACATGATCACAAGCTCTTTTAGGGGGGAAACCGCCTCCTTCTGAAAAACTTTTGGAAATTCTCCTAATAATTCTTCCCACTCCCTTCCAAGTTCCTAATCTTGTTTGCTGGAACCTGTCACTACATAATGGATCTAATATCCTTATCCTTCTTGTTGCAGGGTTTTTAACACTATTTTTCAGGATGCCTTGGTTGCATTTAACTTAGAACATCCATTAAGTATCTTGTCTTTCCCATCCCCTTTCCATTTGATAGAGAGCTCACTGAAATTTGCATGTACCTCACCAAGGCTAGCAAGCCATTTAATACCCAAGACAATATTAGTACTTTCAAGCTCTAGTAGCTAAAAATCTCGAGTGATACACAACTCTTGCACCCAATTTTCAAGTCGATCAAATTTTTCTTTATTTACAACCTGATGCCCATTTCCCAGTTCATTTTGGAACCATGTGTCTGCGTTGTATTTCAGCTCCATATCTTTAACCAATTTCTGAGAAATGAAATTGTGGGTAGCTCCCGAGTCAATTAGGATTAGGACTGAATTGCGGTGTTTCATATTCCTTATGTGACCCCTGACCTTGAAAGTATTGTACATATCGATTCCTTCCTTACTTAAAATTGATAGTTGGATATCTTGGGGTTCATCACCTGTCTCTTCCCACCGATTCTATCACCGGAGATTCATCTTCTTCGGTTTCTTCAATTGATTCCACGAAGATGAGCTGATATTTTTTCATTTTGCACAAGTGTTCTTTACTCCATTTCTCCCCACATTTAAAACATAATCTCCTTCTAGTTCGATCTTGTAGCTCAACTTGAGTAAGTTTTGGTCCTCCCTTCCAATGTGTAGCGAGACCACTGTAATTTTCATTTTGAAGTTCTGAATTATCCTTCATCCGGAGAGGAATTTTTTGGGGTAATAAACTTCCCTGGAATTCCTCCTACGCCATACTAACCCTTGAATGGGTTCACTGCCTTATTAATCCATCCTCTTTGGTCTATTTCCTTGTTATTTTCATGTTCTTCTGTTCAATTAGCAAGACCTTATACATAAGCTCCGTTAACCCACCGGTTTGGTATAATTTCAGCTCTGCACTAATATCCTCTCTGAGGCCATTAAGAAATACTCCTTTTAAAATCTCTTGGTCTTTAGAGGAGCTACAACCATCTCAAAAAGATCCATGTACTCCATTACAACTAGCTTAAGTATAAGACTCTGATTTTATCATGCATTTTTATCTTTCGACCGATTTTTGTAAAATTTTCTTATAAAACTTCAACCATTCGTCAGCAATTCATTTAAGATATGGTGCCACCTCTTTTAATTATATCTATTGGAAACTAATACTTGAATCTGATAATTATCTTCTTGCTTATGATTCTCATAAGAGGTAGGATGAAACCAAATTACATTGATGACTCCAATAGAGGCTGAGGGTCGACGCCTTTTGTCCACAATGGGGAGATGCCTCGTTAAAAACCTCACTAGGAAAAAGCCCTATGAGAAAAAATTCTAAGAAGGGATAAAGAGTACACCGGATGCCACCAAAATGAAGCAAAAGGGTGACTGCTTCGGCCTAGGCGTGGAGTTGTGATGGTCTCCATCCGGTGAAGGGGTGTTTGAGATCGGTCTTTGTATGTGAGTAGCTAGACATGATACGTAGTCCCAGTAATCAAATAAAGATGGCTAGGATATAGGCCGAGCAATCGTCGATAATGTGATGTCTAGGTGATCAAATAAAGACGACTAGCAGATATATGGCCAAAGGGCCTGCATGAGCTCCACGTCATCAAATAAAGACGACTATGCGATATATGGTCAAAGAGTGTGTATAAGAGCTCCACACCATCAAATAAAGATGACGATACGATTTATGGTTAAGGGACCTGTACGAGAGCTCCACGACATCAAATAAAGATGGCAAGGCGATATACAGATGAGGTGATGACATGAACTTTGGGCTCATTTACCTTTTCAACCAGAGCCTGCATGATGTTCGCAACGGTCCACCATCAGCGGAGGGAGTGGCAGATACCGGTTTTGTGATAAAGATAATGATCGCCACCCTATGAGGACGGTGGGCGAGCCCAATCATAAGGCCATGACATCGACTCTAGGAGCCATTCGTGATATCAAGATGAGATGATGAGGTGCCTATCATAAAATGAAGAGGAGGCGCTCAGAGGCCTATCATAATCCTCGGATGAGGCAACGAGGAGCCCGTCATTATACAATCACACTGTGGCCAATAGGCTAATCATGATATGAGGATGGTGGCGTTGAGGAACTGATCCAAGATATGCTGACGAACCGATGAGGAGGCGATCATCATACGAAGGCAAAAGTCGCCATCAAGGAAAGAAGTGGTGAGCCCAATCGCTAGCTCAAGACATTCAACGCTTGGATCTGGTCTTGAGGTAGATAATCAGCGCTTGGAGCTGGTCTTGAGGTCTTGAGGTGACGACGTGAAATTTGGGCTCATTTACCTTTTCAACCGGAGTCCGCATGATGTTCGCAATGGTCCACCATCAGCGGAGGGAGTGGCTGATACCGGTTTTGTGATAAAGATAATGATCGCCACCCTATGAGGACGGTGGGCGAGCCCGATCATAAGGCCATGGCATCGAGTTTAGGAGCCATTCGTGATATCAAGATGAGATGATGAGGTGCCTATCATAAAATGAAGAGGAGGCGCTCAGAGGCCTGTCATAATCCTCGGATGAGGCAATGAGGAGCCTGTCAGTATACAATCACATCGTGGCCAATAGGACAATCATGATATAAGGACGGTGGCGTTGAGGAACCGATCCAAGATATGTTGACGAGCCGATGAGGAGGCGATCATCATACGAAGGTGACAGTCGCCATCAAGGAAAGAGGTGGCGAGCCCAATCACTAGCTCAAGACATTCAGCACTTGGAGCTGGTCTTGAGGTAGATAATCACATCGTAGCCAACAGGCCGGTCATGATATGAGGACGACGACGCTGAGGGGTCGTTCTGAAATTTGATGACGAGGCGAGGATGAGGCGATCATCATGTGAAGGCGACGGTCGCCATTCAAGAAGGGATTGGTGAGCCCGGTCACTAGCTCAAGACACTTGACGCTGAGGATCCGATCTTGAGATAGATAATCACGTCGTAGTCGAGAGGCCGATCGTGATATGAGGGCGACGACATGGAGGGGCGATCCAAAATATGATGATGAGGCGATGAGGAGCCGATCATCATATGAAAGAGGCGGTTTCCATCTAGGAAGGGTGTGGCAAGACCAATCGCTAGCTCAAGACACTTGGCACTGAGTAGCCAGTCTTGAGATAGATAATCATGTTGTAACCGAGGGGCCGATCATGAGACGAGTACAACAACGTTGAGGAGCATGCCCGAAATACGATGATGAGGTGATGAGAAGCAAGTCGTCATATGAATGTGACAGTCACCATTAAGAAAGGGAATGATGAACTGAGTCACTAACTCAAGATACTCGGCATTGTGATCCGGTCTTGAGGTAGATAATCACACCGTAGTAAAAAAACGGGTCATGATGTGCGCCCATCGCTGCTTAGGAGTCGGTCCTAAAAATGATGACGAGGCGATGATGAGCCGGTCGTCATATGTAGGCGAGAATCACCATCCGGGAAGGGAATGGTGAGCCTCGTTGCTAGATCAAGACATTTGGCAATGGGAGTTGCTCTTGAGATTCAAAATTACGCCGTGGTCGAGGGGGGCGGTCGTGAGATGAAGACGACGATCATGAGGAGCCGACCCGAAATATGATGATGAGGTGATGATTAGCCGTTCGTCATATAAAGGCAACAGTGACCATCAGTGAAGGGAATGGCGAGCCCAATCGCTATAACAAGACACTCGGCGTTGGGAGCCGGTCTTGAGATATTGAATCACGATGAGGCTGAGGGGCCAGTCGTGATATGAAGACGTCAGCGCTGAGAAGCCGAGCCAAAATATAATGACGAGGCAATGATGAGACGGTCATCATAGAGAGGCGACTGTCGCTATCCTAGAAGGGAATAGCAAGCCTGGTCGCTATATCAAAAACATTCGGCGCTGGGAGCCGATCTTGAGATAGATAACCACGCCGAGGCCGAGGAGCCGATCATGATTTGAGGATGCCGATGCTGAGAAGCCGGTCCAAAATATGATGACGAGGCGATGATGAACCGGTCATCATATGAAGGCGGCATGCAACATCCAGGAAGGGAATGGCAAGCCCGATCGCTATAACAAGGCTTCGGCGCTGGGGAGACGATCTTGAGATAAATAATAAGTTTGGGGGATTTAATTTTTTATTATTTTTTATTTTTTTTGCACGAGCACAACGATGGGTCATGTTCCGACTCCCCTCTTTTTTTCACTTCTCTTTACACTTCGGAGCGAGAAGGTAATGGACCTTTTTGCGGAATTTCGTTGTCCCAGGGTCGGACGAGGGGGTTATTTGTTGCCCCTCGTCTAATGGCATTCTGCCTCACTTAAGGATCCCGACATTGTAGGCTGTTGGGTTCGAAGATTATGGTTGTCGAATGTAAAACATATATATAGCACATCATCCGCAATATGCAATGCAACAATAGCAATAGTCACAACCCGCAACTCGTGCAACCACAATTCAATTTAATATCGTGAATGCGAGAGAATGTGTGCAAATAATAGGTATGATATTTCCGAGCATAATGGAAATCTGTTTTATTTTTATCACATTACATAAGAAGTTAGAACTGTTAAACAATCACGATATGATCTTCTTCTGCATGATCATCGCTAACAAAGTAATGAGCAATTACGCAATAAACAAGTGCAACAATAGCTAAGTACAGGAAAACCCATTTCTTAAATAAACAGAGCGAGAAGGGGACTATTGAGTTCATAATGCCAACGACAAAACGCATAATCGCAGTCTCTAACGTGCTACCAACCCCTTGAGCCGCTTTGGGATACCTTTTTCTTGTCCAACCATAAGGACCGTCTATCACAAAGTAACTGCTATAAATCAACATTAACAAAACTCCCGCAATTGTGTTAACTTGTGGGGATTTAAAGTGGTGTCTTTTAGTTCCCCAAATGACAAAAAGCAACCACATACAGCCCTGCAATTTAAATATCAATGGATAAATATGTGACAATACTATCATCTTAGATAGGAAAGCACATATGATTTAGATCCTACTTAAATTGGCAATGATAAAAATGTTGGCTAAAATTCAAATGAAAATTTTGAATTTGGAATGTATAGTGGCTACGTATGTCGAGTTACAAAAACTTTTCGTGCACTTCTGTTTTGTTTATACCCTTTTTACAACGCACAAAATCTATGGTTCATGTCAAATAATGTCCTTAAATAATGATGTCATATTTATGTTTAAATAAATATAAGGATTATTTAAGTAATGATGTTTAAACTTTTGGCGCACTACTGTTTAGTTTATACCCTTTTTACAACGCTCAAGTTTATTTAAATAATTTTTCAAATAAATTTACCATACTAATGATTATTTTCTCAAGCATTTTTAATTGTTCTAATTTACAACTACTAATTATCACGTGTTAAATATATATCAATAATTCAGTTGTTGCAATATTAGATGATATATATAATATATGATCAAATTCTTATGGTACATGTGTTAAAATAAAGGATATCATTTCTTTAATAAATCTCTGCTTAAAAAAGGATATCATTTCTTTGTATGAGATATTAGTCACATAGTGACATGAGTAACACTAGAGGGACACCACAAGTTATCATATGTGCTACCATTTATGGATTGATTACATGGGGGAAGGGGATAAAATTCTTATTGATTTTATAGCATTTTGAGTACTATACATTTTAAGTTTGTATACTACATACTTAGGCCTTGTTGTATAAGTTATATAAGAAGTATCAATAGTAAACTACATTGTATTCATTTAAACATTCTTAGGTCTTGTTTGGGAATCGGCTGTTAGATGCTAGCTGCTAGTTGGTTATGACAGTTGATTGGCAATAGCTAATTGTATTAGCTGTTTTAGTTGGCTGATTATGTTAGCTTGTTGCCGGCAAATGTTTGATAATTTAGCGGTTTAAGAATAGTTCTTTGCGTGTAAAAAGACATATAAGAACATTAGAATTTTATTTTATTTTTAACTAGTGCTTATAAAATTAGTATTACCTACATTTACTTACAGAGTATAAATTATTCAAATTTAAGAAAATTTAGAAATTGATTAATAAAACTACATGGACAATAAAATTAATTAAAATAAAAAAATTATTTTAATTTTAATAATATTAATTAAAAAACATGTTTATTTGTAATTTAAAAAACTAAAGAAGGCGTGCTGCATATAAGCATATTGATGCATATGTTAAAGGAGGTGAATTGATGTTATTTTTACTTGATGTATGTGTTAAGCATAAAGGATGAAATATGTACTCCGTATTAAATAATTATATACCAACCAACCAAGCACAAACACTGGTCTAAACTCACCAGCTATTTAGCAAACATAAATTTTGACAATTTAGCTGGTCAACCCAAATGAAAGTGGTCAAATAAGCTCGAAAATGCTAATCAACCATTTACCAAACATGGCCTTACACACCAATTTGATGAGTTTGTGGTGGCGGGCCTCTAGTATACTTGCAAGTCAAATCAGTGGTGTCACAAAAACGTCATGATGAATATATTTTATATTTTGAGGGAACATTGTGAATAAATATAAAATCTAGTTATAAATATATACCAATTAAATAAAATGAAAACTTGTGTGAACACACCACCTAAAATGTCACCTTAGCCACCATGATTCATGTAATCATGTCATGGTGTATTGGTGTGTAAGACCAAAACCAAAGATAATGCCTAGCTAAGATAATGTATAATTAAGGCAGTACTTGTAACATTACTCAAATAAAATACCTGAGAAACACAAATTGTAATGCAAGATATGAGAAAAGTTTGTCTTCGTCGATGGTGAGGGATGAGGTAAAGTATCACAAAAGTAGCCGCTAATGATCCAAGTGAGCAACCAATAAGAGGGGCGAGGAATTGGTGATTATAACTCCCAAACTTGAGCGACTCCAAAATCATTGGTCCATAAAACACCAATTGTGATGACCCTATAAACTGAGCTAGAAGAAGGAAAAATGTCCTGGAGACAAAGACACCACAGTGTTGACCAAGTAGAACCCTCGGTGATACTTTAGATTCATTGACCTCAACCAAGAAAAGAACAATTGACGCCAAAGTCAACATAACTGCGGGTATGGCTATGGCTATAAATGTAACCTTCCAACCATTTGGAAAGAAGCTAGCAACCAAATAGTTTATGAGTAATGCTACAACCAAGCCAACATAATAGGCAAGATCAAATATGTTGTCTATTCTTTCGTGAACATCTTCGGGAGTTATTTGTTTATACAATATAGGAACAACCTGCATTTTTACATGCCCATATGCAAAAGATTAGAGCTAATTAGGATACATATAAATTCGAAATATGTTAAGAATGAGTAAAGTTCATCAAGAAACTGTAAACTTTAACCATCATTATTGAATCTCAATGTAGGGTGGGGTATGATTGACGACTACTTTTCCTCAATCGAGGCAAAATTAAATAAATCTAAACAAACACTATAGGAGTGTCTAGAATTGATTCTGTTTCAATTCTACTTCGTTTTTAAAAGTAGAAGCAGAAACATAATCAGTTTTTCAGAAGTTGATCTTCTCCAGTTTCTAAAAAAATTGTTTCTAGAAGCAATTTGGAGCACCCAGAAGCCAACACTTACACTTTCGTCCAAACACCCTAATATATGCTCCCTTAAGGAGTAAAAGCAGTTTTAAGAAGTAGATCTAAACACTCTCATAGTTTATCTCTTGTGACTCATTCATATTATTAATCTAAATTAGGTGAGGTGGATCATTCATCTAGATTCCTCATGTTTTAATTTTAGGGCCCCAAAACTGGGGTTAGTGATTTGTGTTATCTACATTTTTATTTTAGTTCACAAAATCCCAAATTAGATTTAACCAAAAATCACCTACATAGAGTTAATATTTGCTTTAAGACATACTTCAATGTAACAACGTATTCTATTTTATCACCATAGATTTAACCAAAAATCACCTACTTCAGTATATATATGCTCGAGTGGATCTATTTTACTTTGATATTAGTATTTCAAATCCCATTAGTACTAAGTAATTAAAAAGGACCTAAGTAATTACCTCCCGGATATTGCCAATCCCTATGCCAATAACAAAGAAGAAAAATCCCAAAGCGATGCCAAGAGGAAAAGCTATAGCACACAAAGCACCCATTAGTACCAATATTGCTCCACTTCTCAATCTCCCTTTTGGACCCCAAAAAGATTGCAACTTTATGCCCAGAATTAGTCCGATTGATGTCCCAATTGGAACTGACACAGAGCAAATTAACATGTACCCATGCACATATGTGCAAAAATTAGACACCACAGCTTTTACCAATTTTATGTACGATTTCCCCAACAGCGCCACCTGGAACTTTGGCATGTTAAGAAGACCACCTAAATAAATATTGCGCTAATTAGTTATTATTCCTCGTAAAAGCAATTTATTAGAAATTAAATTATAATCCAATAATTAATAAGCTAGATATAAATGAGTTTTTAACGATTGTACCTACAAAGGTTTGCGAATATCCATATGCAACTCCCCCGAAAAATGCTAATATGTAACCCAATGCCACCCTCAATGGTCTATATATTTAAAATGACAACATTATCATCTTTTTTACACCATATTGTAGTACATATACTACAGAATGGTAAATACACAATAGACGTGATACACTATAGTAAATAACACAAATACTATAGTAAAATGCACGCACACACCAAAGTTGTTTTGATATAGACCTGCAACTTTTTATTTCGTGCGCTAAATGTTTAACTATCAATACACCTAAGGTTGTTATTACTTTTCAAGCTAAATAGGCTGAAGTTGTTGAATAAGAGAATTATTTTAAGTTTTTATCCATATAAACCTTCCTTTTTATTAGTAAAATATATTTTAAATATAGTTTTTTCATATTTTAGCAGAATAAGTCAATCCAGCGGTAACTTGAGTAATTTCAAAAGATTTTTTTTTTGTTTCCAAATAGGCCCTTAATAGACTAAAGTTTGTCTTTTTATCATCTTAAAGATGATGTTTTCCTCTAATATGTTCAACAACTTTATTGACTCTCCATTTCTTCCAAAAACAGGAATATGATAGTCTCAAAATGTTCAGCCTTGTTATTCCAATGATTTGGGTACTTAAAAAATGTTGTTTCACATCTGGTGAAAGCAAGTTGAATGGGGGAATAGTGAATTTTGCTTTTTGTGAAAGTTATAGAGAGTTAACGTCAAGAATTTGATGTAAATTAATTACATGGATGGATAAAAATGAAGAAGTAATATTTAAACCTTATATTACATGTAAATTAAACTTCTATTTTCAATTTTATCATATATTCATCAGTTGACTGACCAATGCATTATATTCTCATCATATAATATGTACTCTTACCTATACTTTACATGAGCTAGTGGACATCCGTCTAATGGTGTAGGTGTCACATTGCCACTAGAAATTTCCAGCTGCATGTTATCAAGATAAAAGAATAGCTTAACTAGGATTTTAAACAAGCATAAAACTGATCATATTAGCATTTAATTTCTACCTTATTACTTGTTAAAAAAACTAATCATATTAGAATTTAATTATTACCTTATTACTTGTTAGAAAAACTAATCATATAAGCATTTAGTTTTTACCTTATTACGGAGTATTACTTTTACATTATTACTTGTTAACCAAATGAAATGATTAATAGAAAGTTGCAACACGATACATTTAAAGCAACAACCAGTAAATAAGTAGAGGTAACGAGATTAATTTTGAGAGGCGAGGCCAGCATCATCTAGGTGGCAAGCCCCTAGATCATCCTCCTAAGAGCATCTCCAATCCATAAGGTGGATTGGTGCTTAGGTGTACAATTAATGAAGAGGGTGTACAACTCTTTTTGTATTTTTACTTTTTAGGGTTCTAATTTTGGATCAACTTATTCTTTGCCCGACAGTTATAGGCATTGAGCAACTTTTTTGTTTAGATAAAGATGGTTTAAAAGACGAAGTCCATTTTGATGCAATTAGGAGTTATAAAAAAATTGGCTCTTTTTGTTGAAAAATATAGACCGATAACATGTTCAGATAATTAGTTAAAAATAAAACATAACGTAGTAATAAATAAGAATATGAATTATCAAGCAGTTTTATAATCTACTAAATAAGTGATTTTTTCCATTAGTTAATATATATAACCCATACATATGTCAGTTTGCACACGCAAACATATACCGTAGTATAATAAAACTAAAACAAAATCATTTTATAGCGTGCACGACACATGTAAATATACTCGTAGTATTATATTTTGACATCACCTTGAATTAAAATGACATTAGTAATGTCATAATTATATTGGCCGTATTTGAAAAATGATAGTATATTTAGAAAATATGAGTAATGGAATAGTACTCCTATTTTGAAATATCACATTATTTTTATTCGTATTCTTATTTGTAACAAGAATTTGGGAACTCTTTAAGATTACCAGGGTTTTACTATTTTAGTTAACAACAAATTTGCATACAGAAGTACCGTACTACGACAATTTATACTGTGGGATCGGCCCACCTTCCGCATGGTGTGCTGATCCCACTTTAGAGGAACTTACGTTACTTTCTTTTTTGCACTTCATTTATATGGAGCTTTGCTATTCCCTTTTCCTTTCTTTTTTTTATCTGTTTTTCTTTTGTCCAATTCTTCTCCTTTTCCATCAAATTAAATTACTAATAATTTAATTTCATTTTTACTTTTCTTTATCTTCATCTTAAATTATAATTGAATCTTTTTTTCTTATTCTTTATCAATACATAACAAAGAGTTTATTAATCTAAATAAAATAAGTATATTGCATTTCATATTCATACACTTTTTTATTTCTGTAATATTTTTTATATTCACACACTTTTTTTGCAATGTTTTTTTTATATTAATACACTTTTTTGTAATATATTTTTATATGTATACACTTTTTCTATAATATATATTTTCTCTCTTTTATATGTTTGAGAGGTTTTTAAAACATTGAGTTTGTTTATTTTGATTCATGAAGTTACATTTGATAATATATCATGAAGTTACATCTTTTATGATCAAGTTACATCTTATTATGCGTAAGTAACATTTTGTTATGCGTGAGTTACATCTCCTTATGCGCGAGTTACATCTAATTATTTATGATTTTTTACTTATCTTTATCTTTAACTAATTAAATTACAACTGAATTAATTTTTTTCCTTACCAATTTATTACAAAATTTTATTAATCCACATAATATAAGTATATCATATTTCATAATCATACACTACTTTTTACTTTTTTCCTTCAACTAAAATTACTCACGAATTTTTTTTTGTAATGTTTTTACATTTATAATTTTTTTTTATAAAAATCTTTTTATATTCATACACTTTTTTGTATAATATACGATAGTATTTCTTATCTTTTTATATGTTTTTTGCCTTTTAAAGACATTAAGTTAGAAAAATCGTGAGATTACATTTTTCATATGTGTGAGTTATGTTTATAGACAAATTCTATAGTTACATTTGGTATCATATGGATTTACATCTTTTTATGAACGAGTTACATCTTCTTGTGCGTGAGTTACACTTAGACTTGCCTCAACAAGTTACATTTTGACATTTTCCATACAAAGTTAGATTTCTCATCAACATGAGTTACATTTTCCACAACACTAGTTACATACCAAAATAAACACCCACTATTGAAACAAAAAAAATTCATTTTTTTTTGCAAAAAAAAATGATTTTTTGAAAAAAAAAAGATATTCAAAAAAAAATTATGGCCTTAATATTAAAAAAACATATCCAATACTTATGTAAAGTAATTGTGCAATTAGACTACTTTTTTCATTGTTTACATTGAAATCAAGATTTTATTTCTTCTTCTTTGTATTAGAAAAGTTATATCGCAACTTGCCTGCAGTTAGATTGCATATTAACGTGAGTTACATCTCATTACACACAAGTTACATCACTCTGCTACTGAAAATAAAAAAAGATTACTGTTCACGTGTGTTACTGTTCACGCGTGAATTAGCTGTGGGAGCACCATGTTCACCATGTGTTGCTCCCACGGTATACCAACTGCCGTACTACACATTTTACCAACAAAGAACATTTATGAAGTTTTTATTAAAAGGGACAATAAAATTGAATAAGTTATGCAAAAGTGAATAATAGAATATGCATGTCTCTAATTCAAAGAATTATTTTCCATTGAAAAGCAAATGTTAAAGAAAAAGGTGTAAGTAGAAATGTGACATACCATTATATATAGTCTTTATGACCTATTTGGATTTGGACGGGATTTCAAAATGCCCGGTTGAATATAATGGTAACTTTAAAATACTTTAAATCTTTGTATATGTTGCTTTAGTTTCGCTATCTTCTATATATAATTTCCCTACTTTAATTTGATGTCAGATGTTTATATACATGTTCATGACGTTGCCTTATTAGCCGGCTTGTAATATGTTTTCTCTCTCAAAATAATAACTCATGCATGCTAAGAATATCGTCTAATATCTTTCAATAAACATGTTCTCATGTATCAGATATTAAAATAATCAAAGCTAAACGTACTTCGTTTTAATAGATAACACAAACACGCACACTATGACACTAATTGATCATTGTAATGATTTCTCATGCATAATGGCAACGATGGTTAGAATATAAGGGTGTTCCTAAAAGATTAGTTAAATAAAATATATGAACAAAAATGCATGAGGCTCAAGTAATTATTATGAGTAAAAACCACGATTTCTACGGTGTAAAATTTCTACTAAAAATTTCTAGTATAGTATGGAGTAGTATAGTAGTCTTTGTCGACATACATAATACAAAAAATCATATTTTTGTCTACTGGTTTCATTTTAGTCACATATAAATCACTATTTCTTTAAATATAGAGAACTAAAATGAAACAATGGGCCGTGGATTAATCTTAATTGGGATAAATGTATTGACAAAACCAAATTCTAGAGAACATATATTCACTCAGCTCGAAACATAATTTGTTAATAATAGTGATTATAATATGATTAACCATATTTTTTGACTAGATATACTAAACCTTCTAATTGATCGTTCACATCATTGTTCATTTAAATCATTTCCATATTTTTAGGATGAATTATTACTTGTTAGAATTAAGGCAACCGTGAAATTAAATAAAGATTAAGAAAAACATGAAAAACATGAATGATCATACACCCTATTTAAGTATGATAATAGGAAAAAAAAACTTATGGAGTCGTATATTGAAAAGCATAGCTTCTTTAAATCATAAGAGTGGTAAACATCTCTTATATATTCCCAGGGGCCAAGGGCTAGTATCATCATTGATAATAATATAGCTGCAATGACATATGGTTTTATATTTATATTTTATATTAATAATAACATACAAATATTGATAATATTAATAATAATTGTTGAAGTTAAGTCATGTAGATACGAAAGCCCAACACACGCTTTGGATATTAAGGACGAGTGTATTATCTTGAGGGTAAAAGAAAATGTAAAAACTGAATGATATTACTCAAAAGCCCACTTGTATTGAAGTAATTCGCTGATTACACTGAAAACTACCCGAACGGCACGTCGGAATAGTGACTAATACAAGAACAAGAGTGAAATCTAGGCTAAGGCTCTCAGTATCAAAATGTTAAAGTGTTACAATGTAATTAATGTCCCTATTTATACTAGAAATGGGTAAGTGGGGAGCATGGGGTGCTCCACGCTGATTGGTTGCTTTTCCAGCCACTTGGACACCCATGCTCCCACATGTTGATGTCATACTCTAGCATTTAATGCACCTTGCCACTTGCAGACTGCCCGTTCGGGCAGCAGACTGATGGTCCTGACTGGCGTTGTTAATATGATCCAAGTATTCTATTTGACATGTTTCCCTTTCGGGGTATTGGGGTGAATTCCCACCGAAACACCGGTCCCCATTCGGGGTAAAGTTCTTCCTGGGCCCGTCCTCCTTCTGGTGTCCTTAATAGATTTTGGGCCGGGTGTTGGGCTTTGGCCCAATATCCCAACACAAGTCCCTCATTTCCGATGTCTTGAACGGTAGTGAGTGCATAAGGAAGTAGAAATTGTTTTATGATGTTCGGCAATCGCGAATGGGACTTTGCTGGTTTCCCGAGGTCCTGAATTAGCGGCTTATTGCGGCTGTCGCTTTAGTTTCCCCGTAATTGTCATGATTGCTGGTCATTGTTCCTCTGCGTGACATGTGTCCCCTCAAACGCTCCTGGTGACGTGTCTCCTTCTGATTGATCAATGAACTGGCGTCTGTCAGCCTATAAGTATGCCTTTTAGATTTTTGGTTTCGGGTTTCGAATTTTCATATCCTTCATGCTTTTGCCCTGCCATCTCTCTAGGATTTCTCAAGCTTCATTCGTTCAGGTACTCTCTGCCCCTTCCTCTTGCTTTTTCTTCTTCGTCTACGGTCATCATGTCTTCTCAACCACACTCTTCCGACTTTGATTCGGAGACAACCTCCCAAGGGGAAGTCCATGACGCCGCTGCACAGGACGCAACAGTTGTCCCCTTTGTTGATGTTGCAACTAACGCGACGGCGGAGGCGGTTACTGAAGATTCTACAGATGACTCTACTTCTTTCAGCGAGGACTCTGGCGGCACGGAGTCTGGTGACGAAATTGCCTCTATGGCGGCTGGTCCCCCGGGCGATGTCCCTCGTTATAAGATTGACCTAAGGTTGATCAGCGAGAGGAGGCAGAAACTGACTTCCCACAACAAGGCCCAAATTACAGCCCTAATCCTGGATCCAGTGGACTTCCATCTTTGGGCGGGGCTTCACCCAATGCGACATCTTCTTGGGATGGTGGTGGTCCCTCTGGATTTAGTGAAGGCCGGGCTAAGAATCTCATTGCATCCATTTTCGTTTCTTTTTTCAAATTTTACGAGGTTGTATCGGCCCAAATCATGCCGAACTCTTATTGGGTGATGGCCGGCTTTATCTGCCGTTGCACGGATGCCAATGTCACGCCCAGTCTAGATCTGTTCCATCAATTTTTCAAAGTGGCTCTCGAGCAAACACATGGGTACTTGGCCGCAAGTGCCCGAACAAGACATTTATTGTTCAAGGGCAGTCTTACTTCTATCAAGGGGTGGAAAGACCGGTTCTTCTTCGTTTCCATCTCAGACGTTTTGATCCCGAACAGGTGGAATGCCTTCCCTCGTAAATCTCCAGATCCGCTCCTTACCGAGGAGATTTGCAAGGGTGTTTTTGCGGTGGAGAAGGATAAATCCTGCAACATCATGGAGTACCTGACTCCTGATCCGCTCATCCAAGCCGGGATAGGTACTTCCTTTATTCCTGGGTTTACTTGACCGAAAAACAAGTGCCATGGGCCGGGCGGTCCTTCCCATGCGAGAAATTTCCCCTTTTAGTTTCCCACGTGGCAAGATTGCTCGATACTAACTTTTGCCTATGTTATTTTTCAGCTCCCAACCCAGACGCTCCCATGGATGATATTTGTGTGCTTGCTGTTGGTGGAGTGGGTAAGAGGAAAAAGGCTAAGAAGAATAGCCATCCCAAATCTTCTACCGCTGCTCCTCAGAATACCGAGCAGCCTCAACTTGTGCAGGAGGTTCAGCCTATCCAGCAGATTTCTCTTGAACAGACCCTTCACGAGGACATGCTGAAAGACAACCCATTCAGGCCAGAGCCGCTGCATTTCTCTGAACATTTCCAGGCTACTCAGGAGGTGAGCATGGGGGCCGGTCAGGCCAATGCTACCAACGTTGTGGGACAGATTGAACGGATCTCTCTGAAGGATCCGGTTCACGACATCCTGGAAAAGGCCGGCTCTTCGCTAAGCCAAGTCTGGTCCACCTTCGCCTACTTCAACAATTTCCCGCTCCCCAATCTTCCGCTCGATCGGGCAGTGGAATGTCTTGCCCTAACGGCCCTGAAGGTACCTTACTTCCCCTCCTTCTATCTGTTCCTCCCATAGTTCAATAGTACATATATCATCCTTCTTTTTCTGAACATTTGTAGATGGGGTTGTATAGCCTGCAACTGTGGGAGGCCCGCCTGGCCAAAGAACGGGAGCTAATCGTTGCTCAAACTTCTCCCGAGCAGGCTGCCGCTGCTGCCCTCGCTACCTCTGAGGCTGAACGGAAGGCCTTTGCTGAAGAGAAGCAAAGGCTTGAGAATGAGCTGGGTGGACTTCGGGTTCAGCTGGCCGCTTCCCAGGAAAAGGTGGCCACCGCCGAGGCTGCGCAGGTGAAGTTTGTGGAAATGGCCTCCCGTATACCGGACGGCCCCTCTGAGGTGATTGTGGACTTATCCGTCGTTCGGAAAGCATTCAAATCCTCCGATGAGTTTTCCGCCATCAAGGATGAGTATGCCCTGCACCAACTTCCCGCCGTGTTCGGGAATTACATCGAGCAGTTCCCTCGGGGCCAGCCTACGCTCAGAGCGGGAGTTGAGTTGCTTGATAAGGATCCCCGAGGTAAGCATTGGAATAATTCCCTGGGCGGGGATCTGTATGTTATGGGTTGCCAACACATCTTGCGGCCTTTGTGGCCAAGTTGCAGCAACAGCTGGGGAGGCCGGTCCAAGCTTCTGATCTTCCCCTGATCGATATTGTCCAGGCCCAGCTCGACAAGTATGAACGGGACATGAAGCGGGCTGCCGACCATGAGGCTGGAAAGGAGCCTGACCCCCCCCCCCCCCCCCCCTTCTGATTCGGAAGTCGGCGAGGAAGATGATGATGAAGGTGGAGAGGAAGCCTCTGACAAGTAGATCAGCTTTACCTTGTTTTCGTTTAATTATTGTAACCCTTTTGTTTAGAATTTATGACTGTTGTACTTCCCGGCCGGTAGAGCCGATGAATAGAAAAGATTTTTTTGCCCATTAGCTATCTTTATCTTTACATCCTTTGTTCCTTGGTCTTCTCTTCGGGATTCTATTTGACCCGTTTCCCGTTTGGGGTATTGGGGTGAATTCCCACTGAAACACCGGTCCTCATTCGGGGTAAAGTTCTTCCTGGGCCTGTCCTCCTTTTGGTGTCCTTAATGGCTTTTGGGCTGGGTGTTGGGCCTTCGGCCCAATATCCCAACAATACTATAGCTAATTAATTAATTATATATCAATGAAACAATCTATAGTAATAATAACATATGAATAATAATAACATTAATATATTGTAACAATGGTATTGTTAGTTTTAATATAGATTGCAAAAACTTATGATTTTATATTTATAGTATTTTTTTTAATAGTAATAGTAACATACACACAATAGCAACAACAACAATAATTATGTCTGAACTTTGCTAATGGAATCTAATTGGAATGTTTCTCATTTGAATCTTTTAACGCATGTGATTTGGTTTAAAAATGTCAG